TCTCTCTCTCTCTCTCTCTCTCTCTCTCTCTCTCTCTCTCTCTCTCTCTCTCTCTCTCTCTCTCTCTCTCTCTCTCTCTCTCCCTCTCTCTCTCCCTGTCTCTCCTTGCCTTGCTTTCGACCCCTCGAAGATTAAAACCGAAGCACGAGGCGGGCACAGCTTGAACGTATAAATGGCCGCGTATTCCCGTCCGACCCGTATCACCTGCGCGGGATGATACGTGGTCACTCCGAATATCTCGCCTGCGATTTCCCGCCTATGTAAATTCGTCGGTTATCGAACCCGGGCTCTGGAAATCTCGATAAGCTTCCGGATTTTCGATGATCTCGGGAACGGCGAGTCGAAAAGCCCATTCCTGCGCTTACGTCTGTGATTATTCATCATTTCTCTCGCGTTTCTCTTGCAAATAGCACATACTATATATTTTAACTCGGGGCCACATGGCAACAACGGGATAAGCAACACCTTTGTCGATGGTGTTCTGCAAATACCTCGAATGGTTACGAATGCACTGTTTTTTTTTCTGAAAGCGAGGAATTCGAGGTACTTTTCCGAATTAATTTCACATCTTCCAGGCTGCACTTAAAATGCAATTCGAATTCACGTTGCGCGCGCAGCTCGTATGGCGTCAGCGAAATAACATTCGGGAGCGAGCACGAAATCTCCGATTTCTCGCGCACGTAAACGCGATAATATCGGAATTCGGAGTGAGGACTTCGATGGTCGACCGCGTGTCGGTTGATCTTCTGATAACGCGAGATGAACGGCGCTGGCGAGAAACTAACTCGATACTTTCACATATAATTAGATTTGTTACTTTTATGAGGCGGACGAGGCCGAGCTGCAGGCGCGCGACTGCTTGAGATTCGATTTTTGAGAATTCCTTGATAGCTTTATGTGTTTTCTCTCTTTAGTCTCGATCATTTATCGAATTTTTCCACGATCTTTCGCCATGGAATTTTTTATGAAAATACGTTGATGTAAAATAGCGGAAAATATCTCCGTGTGGAATTTACGTGATGAAAATTGACGTGCGTGTAAACGCACTGGCGCTCCTTTTAACTACAGTGTGATCAGACGCAAAAGTTAACTCGATTGTCGATGATTACAGACTGAAATCGGAGAACCTCGGTGGCGCCTGGTGTCCTAAGAACCAAATCACCAAGGAAGCTCGGGAGTGGCTGGAGATCGACCTTCATGCTATCCACTTGATCACGGCCACCGCTACCCAGGGCCGTTTCGGAAACGGCGTGGGTGTTGAATTCGCAGAGTACTATCTGCTCGAGTACTGGAGGCCGCGACTGGGCAAATGGGTTCGGTATAGAGACATCAAAGGAGAGGAGGTGAGCGCCTTAACTTAATTAAAGATTCTCTATCGCGGCGCTAGATTACGGACACTGGTATAGAACGCTGCCGCGAAGTTGTTGGACGTTTTCCGACCAAGTCCCTAAATCGTACTGATTGGATTCTCCATTACCTACCTATTACCCTAATGGTCCAATCTGTATCATAAATTATTGTAAGCTCTAATGGTGAGCTGCGTAAAAAAGCAAAAATAGACAAGTATTGTACCGACAGCTCTTTCGCCACGTAGCGTTTGCTTCGTGTGCACCTGCACGTACTGCGCAATTTTTCAGTTTTATAACGAACTGATTATACATCTTCCGCGTATACTTTGCGATATATAGAGGCGATAATTATGGACAAAATGGAAGCTCCGCTCAATCGGAGCGCCTTTTCAACTTCTCGTATTCTTATATCGAATGTCAAGGCGGTACAGAAAAACTAGACGGTTCGTTAGGCTGGATTCACACCTTGGCAGATAAGCAGAAAGCAGAAATCCAATCAGAACCAATCGGAACTGTCGCTGGTAGTCGGCAGTTTCTACTTTCTGCCAGCAGAGTGTGCCATTTACCACCAACGCGAGTTCCGATTGGCTTCTGCTCTTCTGCCAAGGTGTGAATCGTAGAGCCGACAGATATCGGGTCGATGCACTTGGGCAAAAACGTTGGCCGCTATCGTGATTTATGTTGCGATACCGAGGCCGATTCGCGCATTTACCGGCGCCGGTTGGTGCCGCAGCTGCCGCAATTGCGACGAAACGAGATCGAAATAGACCCCGATCTCATTGACCCAAAATAATCGCGCCATCGTTCCTCCGAGTAAGCCATTGAGATCGTTATTCCGGCGCTAGACAGAGTGCAGCCCGTTCTCGATTTGAGTGCAGTTAAAGCAGCGCGCGCGCGCGCGGGAGGCGCGCGAGTTCAAAGTGTTCGACGATCAAGAATCGATTGCGGCGCGCCGGATTATCCTTGCTCGAAACGTAAGCCGCTTATCGCGAATCCGTAAGCTAATTTCGTAGCGTCGGTGCGCCACTTTGTCGGGCCGGTCCTACCAGCATGCCTCGAGCCTTCCGCTCGTCTGCTCGCGAGGAGAATCTGCTGCGAGTCTCTCGACTAACGGCGAAGCCCACGTTGAAGTATTAGCGGGAGCAGCTGCGGTGTGCGGAACGAGTTCGTGATGGACGCCGTAAAGTTAGGATACCGGCATTACCGTGTACTATGCATTAGCGGCAGTATATTCCGTTCATATCCGTAGCGACGAGCCGCGATCGATCCGCCGCTATTACGTTTAGGGTATTTTCCCCGAGATTGGACTTCTCGTAGATATAAGGACTTTCCAAATTTCGCTGCGGCGCGGCGACCCGGCGATCATTTCGACGTAACGCTAACGACTCGCTTCGCCGAGATAATTTTTTTACAACGGAAATCCCTCCGGGACTGCTTTCTCTTGTCGGGGAAGATAACCGTTGCGAGGGAAACGACAATGCCAGGTACGGGCAGCGTTTTAAAGGAAGGCACCTCGTACATCTGTCCGCAGACGATCAGCCGAGCTCGCTCGCGGTAGATTCTGTCCACATGATGGCGACCGCAAACATCAAATGTGCCCGATACAGTTTACCTTTGAGGGAGCCGCGCACGAGTATCGCCGACGGCGACGGTAGACGAGACCCGTTCCCGGCGAACTCAACGTCGTCTACCGTCGGGCAATGTTTATGGACCACGTCGCCGTCGCTATTACGACACTTTAAGCCTCGTTCGCCGGCGCGTCCCCTCGGGCGCGATTCCGGGCAGCGATGCGAGCGCGTACCCCGCGTTCATTAATGCGGCGACGATCCCCGTCTCGCTTTACGATACCAAGAAGAGTCGCGATACACGTTCTGAAAGGCGAGACGAAAAAGCTCGCCTAACCGCTAGGCAAATTGGCCATTCGATCGGCCGTCCCTGCACGTCCCTGCACGTCCCTGCATGTCCCCGCTCGTCCGATTACGATCTTATTAATATTGATGGACCACTCGCGCCGGCGCTAATGCGTCGAGGGACCGCGCGACTTGGCCGGTTCCCCTTCGCCAGCGAGAAGACACCTTGCGTGTCGCACGATTAACTTCATGATTATTCAATACTTAATGATTAGCTCGCTCGGTTTTCCGCCTCGCAGGCGACCCTCTTGAAAATGCGTCCTGTCAACAATCGGGACTTAATGATTATTCAATTTGTCGCGGCTAACGAATCTGAAATGTTGCAGTTTGCGTAATTGTATGCAGAATGCCACAATCAGGCTGAGATGCATGTAATATGTACGCCCGAATTTTGCCTCTAAATCCGATATACAGTGTACTTAATTATATCGAATTCCGAGCCGCTCCAAAATCAATCTAAATCAGTTTCATAATCGAATTATAGAGCTATTAATACGTTTTCGCCCATTACTCCAAAAAATTACTCTTGCAACTGCAGCAACGATTTTCTAGGTATGACAAAATAACAGCTAAATGAATGGCCAATACTGCGAACTCGCATATGTTTTGTACTTAATCAGTTTCTATCTGAGCTGTTAGCGAATGTTAAGAAGAGAGTCTTTCTGTGGCGCCCATCCGTTATAACGTTTGTTTGTGGTACATAAACAGTTATATTTCATTCACAAAGATTGTTCTAGCTATGGTACCAAAATTCATTTTTATCCAATGTGAATGACACTTGGCCTGGAAACCTAAACTTTCCAGAAGATATTACTAGAACGTTGCTGCACTAAATTTTGCAGCTTACAAACAATGTTCTTACAGATACGCAAAATAGCGGTAAATTTTTGTCGCGACACCTAGAAATCTACCCCCGTTATAAGATGTGTTTTTGAGTGGTATTTAATTTGTTTGCGCCTATTAAGAAAAATGTCATCTTCGATGGTCCTTTCGGTAATCCCGCTGTCAGGCAATTTGACATGCAGCTCCATCTTAACTCGATTACTTCGAAAATGTGTCGGGGGGAAGAGAGAAACGATCGAAAACATTATTAACTTAAACGCATGATTAATGGCGATGTAATTGGACAGGTGCTAACGTGACGTGAATCTAAAATTCTGCGCGCAGACACAGTTTCTCGAGTATGTGACATATCCTGGCTCATCACTATTCATGACTTTATTAACAACTCGGCGTACTTGGCTCTTTTGCAGTGCGCCGCAACGCGTGAAATTACGCGAGTTACCAATCGGCGGAAAAACGACAATGACAGGGCATTTCGGTATTGTATCATATCGATCCGCCTCCCCCGAGAGCGGTTATCCGTTATCGATCGAACGTGTCTCTACATCTGGCATCCGATTACTATCTTGTTAATATTGATAGCCAGCTTGCACCGGCGCTAATGCGCCAGAGGATTGCAACATCTTCGTCGCACATGCCGAAGACGCTGTCTACCGTCATCGGCGCTCGACCGCGTAATTTCATGCAAACGCTGGGTGCAGCCCCCTTCGATCCCATGACTATTCACCGCTTTATCACTAAACCCGATCCGATTACTACCCTTGATTCATTTTTTCTTGTTATGGACGAAATCCATTAACGATTAAGAATTGATTTGGGACCTGCCGAAGGAAAGACAAACGGGACGATTGACCTGTTAACATTGCTACTAGACAGATTTGAATATAAATCGCCACCCGTCTTCGTACACGTTGAAAAATGTTCTTGCACGGAGAGAATGTTTTCTTAAAATTTATCCTGAAAATTATGTGATCGTAGGACAACATGGCATTTTGAACAACTTTATATCAGTCATTCTCCGGCCTTTGTAGTCTACATACTTTTAAGGTCTGCCGAAAAATTTTATAATTATGACTCACTACCTTCGGACTTTTTTTAATTGACTTCTTATTACGTGTGCTTGATTGTTTATTGAGAAAATTGCTTGAAAAGGACCAAAACCCATGGTCGAAACGTTGCTGTACATTTATTGAATTTATTAAACACGTGCCAGTTAAGGTCGACAAAATTTATTTATGGTTAATTTTATGAGAGTTTTTGAAACTTTACCATACATTTTACTAAGTTACTAGTAAAATGCATGGTAAAATTTCGAAAAGACTCCCATACAATTCTTCAAAATGCTACGTTGTCCCACGATTACATAATTTTTGGGGTGAATTTTGAAAGAAACTTCTCTCTATGTGGAAATCATTTATCATTACGATATATAGAGGAAAGTTCTCTATTAAAACATAGGTTTCTAATATGAAATAATAGGTTTTCAACGTCCAAATTCAATCACCAATTTTTTTTCGCAACGATTACACGATCTAACAATCAATTTGCCACTAAACAAGAACCAACAGATGATGTCTATTAATTTAGCAGAAATCCCGCTGTCTCATAATAGGGGACTTCCCTCTATGTACAGTTAACGTTACACATTGACGCAGCTTTGACGGCAACATTTTCCACCGCTATTTGCTCACAGTGTTGCGCATAACGGCGCAAACGAGTATTACAAATCTTGCTACGAAAATGTCGGGAGTATCTTTTCTCTAAGGATAGACGTGAAGTAGTTGTGAGAGAAATCCGATTAATTATTGTACGAGGAAATGAGATTAACTAGGCAGACGCTCGTGGAAGGAAGCGAAATTTTTGCTTCCGCGGCAAATATACCCGAGACAGCAAATATTCCCTTTCCCGCGTCACGCGCTGCGGGAAGTTTTTCCAGGGTTTTGCGGAGATATCCCGGCGAAAGAGAGAGAGAGAGAGAGAAAAAACACTCTACAAAGACTCGTGTGCTGCGCCGAGACGATAAGAAACCACGAGGTCTTTAACAATTTCGAGGACAAGAGAGGAGCGCTAACGTATTCCGACGTGCGCACTTGTGCGCTTGCGGAGCGCGTGCGCGCGTGTGCGCCGGCGTAAAATGACGTGAATAGTACCACGTAATGCTAATAATAATTGTCACGCGAGGGGACGAAAGACGGAGGCTTCAAAAGGCCGCCAGAGGTAATTAAAGCTTGAGGCACGACC